GCCCTTCTGGCCTTTGCCCAACTGCTGTGGAGCACGAGAAGAGGCCGAACTGTGAGGCCAGCGGGTGAGGACGGTGTCGCTCTGATAGGGTCTGGGTTGCACCGTATGCACCCGAGCTTAGGTGCCCATGGGAGTGGAACATATTGCACCATGCTTCTGGTCATGTCAGAAATCAAGCTACTGACACAGGTATATTTGCAGAGTGAGGAATCTTTTGACTGCTTGAGGATTGTATTTGCTTGCAAAAGATTCATTTTATGTTTGGGTTTTGAGCAATCCTTGATCTTTCCACCTGTTGCTAGGTAGGCATTGTGACTTACAAATATGCAACCCAGTGGGGGTCCGCTCCTCTCACTGTTGATGGCCAAGAGGGAGCCTGGTGAAGGGCGATGGAAAGTGGAGCCCAGGGTCACCTGAACAGGGACTCCTGGACCAGAGTCCACTCAGAACACATGTCTCGCATGGGGCAGCCAGCACCGCCTGGTCAGGTCCCTCTCCACTCAGTGAAGGGCAGTAGGTATTCCCATGGATCGATTTTATTCATTTGAAAGGCTGGTCACACATAGGGAGGAGAGAGAGGATCCTCCATCCACCAGCCATCCACACATCCCTGCCATGGCTGGGACTCAGACAGGCCAGAGCAGGAGCCTCCATCCACCAGCCACCCACACATCCCTGCCATGGCTGGGACTCAGACAGGCCAGAGCAGGAGCCTCCATCCACCAGCCACCCACACATCCCTGCCATGGCTGGGACTCAGACAGGCCAGAGCAGGAGCCTCCGTCCGGGTCTCCCACATGGTGGTAAGAACCTAAACACTTGTGCCATCCTCCATTGCCTTGCCATGAGCACTAGCAGGGAGCTGGACGGCAAGTAGACCTACCAGGGCTGGAACAGGTGCTGACACAGGAGGTCCAGAAGCAGCCTAACCCTCTTTGCCACACCAATTCCTGTTAGTGTTTAAACTGGTCTCCCTTCCTGATTGTGCAGGGATGTATAATGTCTCAATGCCTAAGATGGGATGTCACACACATGCACAGTTTCCGTGAGCAGACAGCCTACCCCCTGCCAGGGTTCCTGTCCAGCTGTGCTCTGTAGAAAGAAACAGCGGCAATGAGCCAGGTGCCTGCCTCCCTGGGAAAGCTGGGAATGGCCTCCACACACCACAATGCTGGGACAGCTCCGGTGGACTCCGCATGCTGCAGTGCACTGGCCTGCCCCTCCTACCAGCTGAGGGCCCCTGCAAATGCCTTAATTGCCCAAGACTGAGGAATCCACCATCCTTTGGGCTGCAGACTTCAAAAAGTTGCCTTTAAGTGGGGAGTTTACAGAGGACATTGACTATGGTTAAGTGATGTGGGTGTGAAGTAGCCCAGTACACCTTCCCATATCTAGCTTAAACGTCCTCTGGAACCCAGCGATAACTTGATAAATACCTATGATGGTTGGAGTGTGTGTGACCGGCAGACGGCAGTCCCCGCCTTTGGGATGACATCATAGTGCCTAAAAATGCGCAGGCAGCAGGTGCCAACACAACGCACTAAGTCACACAGCCTGTCCTGGAGCGGGGGCGACGCCTGACTGCCTCCTAGTAGAGAAATTAGCTCGGGTTTCTGAAAAATGACCCACAGAGGAACCCCTGCCCACTCCCTAACATCCTTTGTCATTGGCATTTGATCTTTGTGGCTTAAGCAGGCTGAGCTGCTGGCAGCAGAGGGGTGCTGCTGACTCCCTGGCAGAGAGGAGCATCTGCTCAGGCGCAGCAGAGGGCACTGTGCAAGGCCATGGCTGCCAGGGCTCTACGGAGAGAGGGGCAGGGTTGGTGGCCTGTCCTGTGACCTCACCAGAGGGCACCCTGAAACCAGAGTAGGGAGGTCCTCCGCCCAGCACAGCAGAGTTCTGGGAGGGCAGAGGCACTCGGCACACTCATGGAACAAGCTGGGCATGGCTGTGCAGTTGTGGCCACCCGCCAGATGCCAGAACTGGGAAGGTCATCTGAAATTGCCTTATGCCATACGGCTTCCGAGGCGTGGCGCTGTGAGTCAGAGCCAGGGCAGCCATTCCGCCAGCCAGCAAGCCAGCCAGGGTCTGTGTGTCACCTCCCCTTGCTGGGGGCTGTTCTTGGTGTGGGCTTCCTCAGACCAGGGTCTGTGTGTCACCTCCCCTTGCTGGGGGCTGTTCTTGGTGTGGGCTTCCTCAGACCAGGGTCTGTGTGTCACCTCCCCTTGCTGGGGGCTGTCCATGGTGTGCACTCTGCTCCTCTGAATGCAGCCGTGGCAAGCTTGATTGGACCGCCTCCACAAGCGGGCGTTTCTGCTTTATTTCACTTTATTTTTTTATAATTAGTATTCGCTTCATGCCATCTTAATGAGATGAAAATTAAAGTTTCCACATTTAATGCTGTGTTTTCATGCTTGCCACGCTTCAGGAGTTCTCTTGAATAAACACTGGTATCAATGGACCGCCAGAGAAGGCTTCCTTCAAGGGGCGTGGAAGTCGTTGTCCCAGCTCCCGGCACAGCAGTTGGAGGGAGGTGGCACGCTGGGGGCAGTGTCCTCTGGTGCCTTGAACATTGACCAGACCCACAGTGACCCCCAGCATGCTTCCTGCTGCCCCTGGGCTGCTCTCCTTCCTCCTGGACATTTAGTCCTTCTTGCTAGTAGGGAAGGCTGACTCCCCGACAGGGCCAGCGTCACCCTGACCCTGGACATCCATGGTGATTTCCAGAGAGGCCTGGTCCTGGTCCAGCTCTGCCATGCGAACAGAGATGCTCTAGTTTAGAGCCGATTACACTGCAGGTGACACAAAAGCGTGAGTCATCTGCCCCTGCTCAGGGCTCAAAAGAGAAAGTTCTCATTGGTGTGTGATTAAGTCCAACAACATTAAACTGTTTCGCCCTTGGTAAGAGTGCTTAAAGTTCAGAGACAAGCAAAGCTGCACTTGGGCACTGCCTAACCTCAAAGCACAGCAATGCTCTCTTCTGTCCCAGGACCCAGAAGAAAGCCTGGGAGGGGGAGGCTGGGGAGAGAGATGGAGCCAGCAAGGGAGGCCCTGCCATGCGCCTGCACACCAGGAACCACCAGCCCCACCCATGGCCCTCAGCCTGCACACCAGGAACCACCAGCCCCAGCCATGGCCCTCAGCCTGCGCACCAGGAACCACCAGCCCCAGCCATGGCCCTCAGCCTGCGCACCAGGAACCACCAGCCCCAGCCATGGCCCTCAGCCTGCGCACCAGGAACCACCAGCCCCAGCCATGGCCCTCAGCCTGCGCACCAGGAACCACCAGCCCCAGCCATGGCCCTCAGCCTGCGCACCAGGAACCACCAGCCCCAGCCATGGCCCTCAGCCTGCGCACCAGGAACCACCAGCCCCAGCCATGGCCCTCAGCCTGCGCACCAGGAACCACCAGCCCCAGCCATGGCCCTCAGCCTGCGCACCAGGAACCACCAGCCCCAGCCATGGCCCTCAGCCTGCGCACCAGGAACCACCAGCCCCAGCCATGGCCCTCAGCCTGCGCACCAGGAACCACCAGCCCCAGCCATGGCCCTCAGCCTGCGCACCAGGAACCACCAGCCCCAGCCATGGCCCTCAGCCTGCGCACCAGGAACCACCAGCCCCAGCCATGGCCCTCAGCCTGCGCACCAGGAACCACCAGCCCCAGCCATGGCCCTCAGCCTGCGCACCAGGAACCACCAGCCCCAGCCATGGCCCTCAGCCTGCGCACCAGGAACCACCAGCCCCAGCCATGGCCCTCAGCCTGCGCACCAGGAACCACCAGCCCCAGCCATGGCCCTCAGCCTGCGCACCAGGAACCACCAGCCCCAGCCATGGCCCTCAGCCTGCGCACCAGGAACCACCAGCCCCAGCCATGGCCCTCAGCCTCTCCATGCTTCTCTCCTGCGATGTAAAACTGACCAGTCCCCAACTGCCATCTTTACATTGGCTTCCACTTTCTTTTCAGAGGGAAGGGCATTCTCGAAACGCCAGCTCTATACTCCGCCGTGCGGGAGAGAGACGGGAGATGTGTCCACATAATTCCCGTGGTGAATCGCATTGGCCACAGGGCCAGGCCCACAGGAGCGAAGGGACACAGGAGCGTGTGGTGCCATGGACCAGGGGGCCTGGTGACAGAGCCAGGGCACTTCCCCAGGGACCTTCCCCAGGGCCCAACTTCATCCAGTGACTCAGGAAGCCACCCCTGATGAGCAAACAGGCTCCCTCTGCAACTGTGTTTTCTGCACAAGTGTTGTGAGTGTCAGGTCACACAGCAAATGGGCACAGTGGACGCCGCCTTCCGGTGGAAGAGGAGCCGGTGCCAGGGCTCCCACATGACGTGACCACACGGGCAATGCAGACACCTGTAGCCACATTGTGTGTCCTCCTGTTCATGCTCTTAGCGTTTCTCTGAGTATTGATCTGCATGATGCAGACAGCATTCCAGGGCCACCAGGCCCCGTGGCCTACGGCCAGCCACGCTTCTTCCCTGAGAAGAAGAGAAGCTCGGACGCACCAGTGTGCCTGCACACACATGCACGCGGTAACCCTGTGTACACATCACAGGTGGACAGCCTGAGAGTGTTGACCACAGTTGTTCTCTCCGCCTTGCCAGGCAAACTGGCAAGTCTTCCTGATATAGGACTCTATGGAGAAAAGCCGACACCATGTACATCAGAAAACTCCACACACTGCACACCATGAAAAGAGGTAACCCTGGAGGGGCAGCCTGGGGCCCCTGCAGGGCAGAGGGGCAGGAGTGGAGCCGGGGCTGCAGGAAGACAGAAGCATTGTTTGCAAACCCACGCAGACTGCTGGATCTTACTCAGTCCCAGGGACAGGACCTGGACTCTGGGGAGTGGGGAAGGAGCTGCTGGCTCTGTGCACCTGCCAACACCCTGGGGGTGGGGCTAGTGAGCGGAGTCCAGAGGGGCAGCCCCCTCCTGGGAGTGACTTGACAGCTCTCCATCTCCTCTGACATTCGGGTTTCCAGTCAGACTGCAATTTTCCTTGAAAATATTTAATCCAAAAGGGAAAATGATGTGTATATACACAGTAACTGAAATCAAATACAATTACAAGGCCAAATTGAAATATCCCAGACCATTTCCACGTCTTTCAGGACGTTCAGCACCTTCTTTCTTCACTTGGATTTAAGTGTGTCAGCCTCTCCTGGCCCTCTGCTTTGCTGCTAGTGGACAGAGAATCCACCCCAAGGGCAGTCCCTGAGTGTGGTCTCTTCCAAAGATGCCATACACTCTTAGTAAATGCCCATCAGAGGTTCCACTTCATTGTACTATGACCCAGTCCAGCACTGGACACATCTGTCCAGGAAATGGCCAGATAGCCACATGGGAAAGTTACTTGAATCAAGGAGCAGGAGGACGGCCTCCACCTGCAAGGGGCCCTCTGTCCCTAGCCCAGCACGTGGCTGAGTGGCCTGGACATAAGTGGCGTGTGGGAGGTAGATGCTTGCCCTCAGCGGATCCAGGCTTGGCCTGTCTGTACAGCACTGCCTCGCACAGAGCGGTCAAAGGTGAAGTCTGAAAAGGCCCTGGACCAAGAGGACGTTAGATGTCTTCATGGAGTGGGACTGTCCTTTTCACTCAGTGGATGTCCTCAGCACAAGGCCAGCATGCAAGGCCACTGCGGCCAAGCCTAAAGCAGAGCCCGGCACCTGCTAACCACACTGAGAACGCTGCTCTGTTCTAAGACCTGAGCACGAGCCAGCCGCACATCACACCCAGCCCACCAGGAGGAATCCGATCCCATCCATTCTCAGGGTCTTCAGGAAAAAGCCCATATTTATACCAGCTTCCTGTCACTTTAAAACTCCATCCATCATATACGCGGAAACGAAGAGGTTGCATCAAAAAAAAAAAGATTTCCAGGGCAGTTAAAACACAGCTATTTCATCACAAGATACAGTGTATGTTAGCCTGTATAGCCTGTAATCTCATTTAAATCATATAATGAATGCAATAGTGAAAAATTAAAATCCCAACGAGCATGGCTGTGCCTCTTCTAATCTACATGCGATTTTAAGTAGAATTTCCTCCTCCGGGTCCAGTCTCTCCTGGGGGCTCAAGCGCCAGCCTCCTGAAGGCCCGTTGTGGGGTGTCAGGCTTTCCTTATTGCAAAAGGATTTATCAGCGCTCGCCGCCCACCCTCCCCTCCGGAGACCAGGTGAATAATAACAATTTTAATAACACCATAGATCATGCTAATAGCATACGCAGTGTTTGTCTCCACACAGGAAACACTGATCCTTGGAGGGAGGGAGAGAAGGATTCAAAATTATTCTGGCAAATAAACCAATTTAGGCCAAATTAAGGAGCATATGAGCACCTAGTAATTGGCAATGGGACAGTAGAGTCGGGGTCTGAGTAGGCGAATCTTGACCACTGTCGTCCCAGAGCTCCGGGTTTGCCACTGGGCAAAGATGTGAGAGCACCAGTGCCTCCTCACTCCTCCCTGCACCCCTGAAAAAGGACAAGCCCTGGGGAGCCCCTCCCTCCATCCCAGCTCCCGTGCACCTCTTGTGCTCCAGCCAGCAGCATTCTCCTCTCCCACCCACTTCTATCCAGTAATGAACCTCAGATTCTTCAGTTAATGCTGGCCCTGAAACACCTTTTAGCATCTGCTGCCGAGGCCACGGCCACTGCGAGCGACTGGCTGTCAGTCCACAGCAGGGCGATGTGGAGACTCAGTCGGACTGAGCTGTTCCTCTGGTTCTGATCCCTGAGATCTTTCAACCCTTGCTTTCTGCTGGCTGCACACGGCCCCGGTTCATGTGCACCGCCGGAGTGTCGGTCTCCATCTTCCAAGAATGAAAGGCTTTCTTCTGCGGTCAGACTTTCCAAGTTACGGCAGAGGTCTGAGTTGTGTCCGAGGTCATGCAATTGTCTGGTAACTCACTGCCTCCCCTAGGGCCGCCTGGTGGTGACCCACGCAGTGAGCGCCCTGCGGCCAGCCAGCAGGGATCCTGGGGGTGTGTGCTGGGGTGCTCTCTGCTCCCCTGCACAGCCGGACCACCCTCCTCGCCGCTCACTGGCGGCACAGCCGGCTGAGGAAGGCTGAGCCTTCCCCTATGTCGTTTGGCGTTCTTTTTCCTGTTAGGACAGTCGAGGGCCCTGGGGAAGTGGCCAGTGTGTGGAAACAGCGAGAACGCTTGTGCACCTGCTCCGTGCACCTCCCTGGTGTCCAAGGCACGTGGAGAGATGGCCCAGCTAAGACCAAGAGCACGAGCTGGAGAAGAGGAGGAAATCAAAGTTTGACAGGAATTTACAAACGCAGTGTGAGTTAAGTATATCATCACTCATAATACCATTAAATCTATTTCAATAAACAAAAACATGCTTTACTTATCCCAGGAATTCTTTGTGAAAGCAAAACATTATGTGAAAAATAAAGTGTGATTGCAAACACGGTTAAAATCTAGAGTGAGGTTTTGAATAAACAAATCCAATCTCAGTGGAATGGAGTGTGCCTCCCAGCCATTTCTTGACAAAACAGTCAGCTTATTTACACGCTTCACAATGCCCCACCATGGATGTCGAAGGAGAAAAAATAAGGAGAAAAATAATTAGCATATTAATCTTTTTTATGCCGCCATCTTTCAGACCCAGGAAACCATGGTGTAATTTAAATCTAAACGCTTTCCTGGCATTAGAATTCATTTTCGATGGGTCAATTGTTCCATAATAAAGGGATAGAAGGTGTACTTCATGCAAAAGATTTATGTTTGCCATTTGTTCATATTCATGTGCTACTGAATACCCCCCATTCAAATGGTGAAGGCTGTTCATATCAGCCGGGCGCCAGCCACACAGATCACTAACCGGCAGCAATGAATTTCATTTGCAGGACAAAAAATACGGCGAAATTAACTCCAACAGTTTATTGATTTTTGCTTAACAGACGCCAGAATAACAGCTCTATTGCCCTCATAATGATTAGTGACAAAAGTTTAATTAAGCAATTATGAAGCCAATAATAGAGTTGTCGGGCGGCCCGCTGCAGCCCGTCCAGGACTTATCTCCCTGCTGCACATCACAGCAGCTGGAATGTGCTGCAGGAGATTAATGCTAAGAACACAGATGCCTACTTTAATTCTGCTTCACGATGCCGTCTGAATGGAGCCAGAACACAAGCCTCCCTTTATCAAATTACAAGTCCGCTTTTCATGAATATGTAGTTGAGAAAAAAATCTAGTTGTGGCTTCAAGGTGTAATTATAAAGACATACAACAAAAATGACACACAATTCTGTCTTGGTAATCCCTGCTATGAAATATGCATGATAATGTATTACTGAATAAAGACTTAACAGTGCTCTAAGAGGTTGTGCCATTGTGTCTAACCCAAACAATTGGCAGCCTTCTCCTAATGACGTGTGAGATATTGTCTGACCTTACATCTTTGTTTCTCTTCCTCTTCCGCGGATTGTTTCAAGCTCATTGTATTGTTATTTGTCCCTCATGCCGTTAGACCCATCTTATCTATTTGTAAGAATCCCCCCATTTATTATGTATGCTTAAATATGTTAATGGCAAAGCCCACTTACTCCTTCCCGGGCATTAATCTTTGCATAAAATATGCACGGTGTCCCCGCAACCTGCAGGCCGGGAGAGGGGGAGCCTTCCTTAGTGCCGGGTTGCTCTGGTGCGGGCGATTCTCCAGCCTCCCAGGAGCCCTGCTTCCTGTGCTCCACATACCTTCACTGGAGAGGCGGCTCTGCTGCTCCCGGCGCCGCGCGGGACGTCGGCTGCGGAGACGCTGGGGTGTGCGCCCGGTCCCCAGCCTCGCGCTCCGCCCTGGTGCACAGCCACCCTCTCGCTTGGTAAAATACGGAACAAATTCACTCGTGGGTGTTTAGTCTTTTTTTTTTTTTTCCTTTTTGCCACTGGTAAGATACACCTGGCCCAAATGCTTAGGATTTAGATAGAAAGGCATCTATCGTCATGGGCCTTCCCAGAAGGGTCGCTTCCTCACGGCAGGCAGGGCAGCAGCGGGCCCGGGGCGGTCGTGCGCCGTCTCACACAGCCTTCCTTCCCCGGCAGCCTCGTGGAGGGCCGGGAATGCCTGCATCCCGCATGGGTCACAATCCAGCGGCCAGCCACGTGGGCTTGCGGTCACTGCCTGGCCAGTGGACCGCAGGGAGCCTGGCGTGGCCCCTGCGCACTTACCGGTGCCGCGGCGACCAGGACCGCCCGGTGTTCCCTGGAAGCTGAGGGGAACGCGCCCTCCCAGCTCTCTGTTCCTAAGCCAGGAGGCGGCTTTTGTGTGTGTAGGAATTGCGAAGGCTGCTGGGAGGGCTTTTCATCGCTGTGTCACCCCGTGGAGGCCGGCCTGGGCAGGGCGCCTGCTCACGGGGCTTTGTCTCGAACGGGTCCGGAGCTCTCTGGAGCTTGTTGTGTGTGGGTCCAAGCTAGTCCCAGCCGAGTACCTGAACCTCCTGCAAGCGTGAGCCACCCAGTCACCTGCCCGGGGCAGGGTCCCTGCCTGCCTGCCTACTTCTGAATGCCTTCCTGGGAAACAACAGACTGTTGACCCTGGCTAGCAGGCTGGTGCGGAGGGACCCCAGAGCCCCTCACCAGCTCCTTGTCTCCTCCTCACTGCTCCGGCTCCTGAAGGCTCCGGCGGCCCCGGATTGCTCCGTTCTCAGAGAGGATGGATTTCAGCTTGTTCCCTGTCCAGTCCCATCTCCAGCCGCAGGGCCTGGAATGCCAAGAGGCTCCCGGGACAATGGGGTGTGGTAACGACCTCTTGCAATTCATTAGAGATGGCTCATCCTGCAAAGAACAAATCCCGGGATTCTGGGAATAAAGTGCTGTTCTCACGGGTGGCTGAACAACCGGCCACCCTGCTCCTCACCGCGGGCCCCACTGCTCTCTCAAAGCCTCGTGGAAATGGCCCTTAAAAGCGCACAGTGCTGCAGGCTCACATGGGTCCTGACAGCCGGCTAGTGAACTGCAGCCCACTACACAGCGCGGTCTGAAGGGTTGTGGCTTCACCTCCATCTCAAACCAAGACCAGGTGTCGTGAGCAGTCTCCCGGCTGCCCGCTCTGCTCCCATGCTGGGCTTTCAAAGGCAGCATCGCACATCTGACTTCCCCACGTCTCATGGACCCAGCGAGCCTACCTTCTGGTCCTGCAGGCAAAGCTGACTTACCCTCCACTCCGGAGGGGCTAGAAGCTGGGCCAGCCTGTGTCCCAGATGCAGGTCGCCCACACGGGGCCATGGCCCTTGCCCACCCGGGATGCAGTCTTTAAGCATGAGCTCAGGGGCCACTGTGTTACCTATAAACACTGCATGGCTCACCTGCAGGATCCAGCTTTGATCCACTCAGGCCCCACACAGATCTAAGACCCAAGACCCAAAAGAAGAAATATGAAGAGAATTGGCTCTCACACCACATTTCAAGAGGGCAGAACACAGGTGAGGCCCACAGGATGGAACCTGGGCGTGTGTGGGAGTTGAAGCACATGGCCCCAGGGGTGGCAAGGAAGCCTTGAGGCCGTGTGGCTCCCAAGATGCAGCTGTGTGCGCTAGCACTCAGAGGGGCAGGAGCCGGAGTGTGGGAAGCACGGCCTGAGAACCCGGATGAGCCCGTTCCACAGTGGAGTACTGCTGCGTGAGGCTGTGGGGCAACGCCAAGGGGACACCGTCTGGGCTGAAAGTCCCCAGGTGCTCTTCTGAGCCTGGGTACCTGGGCTGCAGGCTGGTCTGCCCCGCACCTGCCCACTGCCCGCCTGCCTCTCCGCACGTCACTTCACCCCGGTGGTTGGCCTTGGGGTAGCCAAGTGACGACTAATGGCAATTTGCTCTAGTTAGCAGAAGGCTGGTGAGGCAGGACAGCTGACCGTGTCAGCTCCTTGTCTCAAATGCCTCTCCTCTTCAGGTGGATGCTGAGCCCAGCGCCTTTACGCATTGGCACAGCGAGCAAACACTAAGACAGGCTTTCCATCTTCAAGTTAGACCGCTGTGCACTGGGGGTGGTGGCCAGGGCAGCTCCCTAGAGCCCAGGACGTACACACACCCAGGCTTGGGCCCCCAGTTCATCAGGCAAGCAGATGAACACACAGCCATTTGCTAATGGGTCTCCATCCCGTGCCCGCATGCGTGGCACCGTGATTACTTTTTTAGGAGCGCTCCCTTCCTCCCCAGCTGCTCCTCGTCTAGTTAGACAGCGTTAACGACACTTCAGTCATCCGGGCTTTCAAGCCGGGTTCTTCCACGGCGAACAGAGGCCTGACATTTCCTGACATTTTCCCAACTAATTACAGGACAAATAATTAAGCATGTTCTCGTATGTAACAAATGAAGGCAAAAGCCGTCTGTCATGATCGGTGATTGATGACACCCTGGGACACTTTATCTGATGGGTCCTGCCACGCGGTGCTGGGGAAGCAAATTTATTAGAATGAACAATGCAAATTCTGAGTCATCTCATCCAGTTATGCGCAGAAGCAATATCCATGTCAAGGTGAATGTGACAATGAAAGCAAAATATTTGCATTTTGTGGAGCAGGTTGAAGGGGGAATCAGAGTGGGAAGATGACAGGCCTAATTATTTTGGCTCATACAGGCTGGGACAGCTGTTTCTGGTGTCCTGAACAAGGCTGTCACACAGGTAACTAAATAGGTCTGCATATGAGTCTGTATCCGACGCTGTTCTGAGATGTCCCCCACTAATGACCAACGCTAATGTTGCTGCCAGCCCCGAAAACCAGAGAAGGTGTCACCACGCACCTTCTGTGTGGCAGTCAGCATTTCGCTACATAATTACTTGTTAGTGAATTAATTCTATCTGTCAGTATCTATGCCAGTGTCATTTTTAGACCATTATGAAATTATGCCATCACTATAGCAACTGCAGGCCCAGTTGAAAGGCAAAAGAGTTCAGACACGCAGGAAAAGTGCCTAGTTAGGCAGGGATGAGAAAGCAAAGCCAAATCCACACACTCGGGCCTCCCGTGCTCATTTCCCTTATTTGGGCCACACCGTTTGATCAGCAGTCATTAAACCGTAATTTCAGGCCTCCCGTTTGCATCCAGGATGAACGCACACCGTTAGAGCCGCCATCCAGCCCCCAGTGGCAGCTCTCCGAAACAGAGCAAGCTGGCTGCCCAGCACATCAATTAACTAGGTGCTTAAAAGTGACATGACCACCACTGAGAGAGAGGGGAGGGAGGGAGGGAGGGAGGGAGGGAGAGAGAGAGAGAGAGAGAGAGGAAAGAGAAAAG